GGTGAACAGCCAACAATAAAATACATACATACAAAATTTAAAAAGCAGAAATAAAATCGAATTAAATAGTTTGGCCCAGACAGATTAAAAAACCCCAATCAATTTAAAACAAATCAAACTTTAAATATTAAAAATATTTAAAAATATTTAAAAATTATTTAAAAAGAGGGAGAAAGTTAGGTCAGGCCTGCCTAGTGGAATAAAAAGGTCTTAAGAGCGCGGCGGAAGGTGCGCAGATCCGGGATCCTCCGTATCTCCGGGGGGAGCTCGTTCCAGATAGAAGGTGCCCCCACAGAGAAGGCTCTCCCCCTGGGGGCCGCCAGTCAACATTGTTTGGCTGATGGCACCCGGAGGAGCCCCTCTCTATGAGAGCATACCAGCCGGTGGGAGGCTATTGGTGGTAGTAGGCGGTCCCGCAAGTACCCAGGTCCTAAGCCATGGAGCGCTTTAAAGGTGATGACCAAAACCTTGAAGCACACCCAGAAGACCACCGGGAGCCAGTGCAGCTCGCGCAGGAGGGGTGTCACATGGGAACGCCATGTCGCTCCCATTACCACCCGCACGGCCGCACTCTGCGCCAGTTGGAGCCTCCGGGTGCTCCTCAAGGGAGCCCATCTCTTGGAAGACAGCAGTTGTTACATTGGAGTAATATGATTGTGTTTATCAGTGCAAGGAGTCTTTGACACTGTACAAAAAGGAGGGAGGAAATCTCTTGATATTTATGCTCAGGAGACATCTCAGGGCTGAACAGGAAAAAAACCCTACTAATAAAGGAGAATATTTATACCTAGGGTTGAAATGAGGGGTCCTTGATACTCTCTGGGCTTGCTTGTTTTCTTGCAGACATTCCATTACCCAAACTAGGTAACATCATCAGTGCTAGTAAGGAGAGGAGTTTGCTCTCAGTTTATATTCTAGTCTCTCTAGGAGTCTCTGGAGGCTGGGGACAGCAAAAAACGTCACTTCCTGTCCCACCGGGAATCGGGAAATGGGCCCTTTCAGGCCTCCGGAGGGCCTCCGAGGGAGTGGGAAAGGCTGTTTTCGCCCTCCACAGATGCATAGAGAGGATCTGGAGCCAGGTAAGAAAGAAAAATGGGCCTTCCCCACCCCCCTTCCCCAGGCCCTCCAGAGGCAGGAAACAGCCTGTTTCCCTACTTCTGGTGGGCCCAGCTGGCCGGTGCGCGCATGCACGCCAGAGCTGAACTGGCGTGCCCACTGATATGGCTACGCATGCCACCTGTGGCATGCATGCCATAGGTTCGCCATCATGGTTCTAGTGTCTTGCCCTGTCAGTGTTTGGGGGGGTGGTCTTAAAGATTCTTTGATTGGGCTGTTTACTGTTGGCTTCTCTGGCACTTTCTTTATTGGGGTATTGTTTATTTGTTGGTCTGATATTAATCTTGGAGTTAATCTATGCTGAACTGAGTGCTGATTGCTGGTGGAGAGGTGCTTGTGTCTTTTTGTTTCCTTTTTGGCTGTTCCCGTTTTGTTCCCTTTGATTGTTTCTTTTGCATAGTCTATAGATATTGTTAATGTCTATATGTCTATTGATGGCTAATTCATTAGAGTGCCATACTAGAAATTCCCTAGCGTTTTTAGACTTGGCTTCACCCTAAGTCACATTTTCTCAATAGAAACTAGTTTAATTATGGACAAAGAACTGAGCAAAATTCTAGATACTGAATGGCCCTTAAGACCAAGAATTCAAAGGATTTGTTTGTTTATTTATTGGTTCTATTTATATTCGATTTATATGGATGTGATGCATCAGAGAACAATATATCTCAGTTAAAGAAAAATGCATCAAACCATCCTTACCCTATAAATAGAGTTTTTTAATTATATAAACAAATTATATTTGAGAATATACATAATATATTAAAAGAATCTAGAAATATAGAAATGGAAGAACTGAAAAAGCTTCTTGGATGATAAGCAAAATGTTTTCAAGGTCCAGTTGCCTTTTGAAAAGCACATTTTGGACAACCATGATCTGGATGATTGAGAATCTCCATACACAGAAATATAGAAACTATATTTGGCTGTCTAGCTGCTTCTTGAAAACATTCTAGTACTAGTCTTACACTGTTGATTTAGATTCAGCTTGTTACCAGTGATCACACCCACATTTTTCTCAAATATAGTTCCAAAACATGAATCTCCAATGTCTATGTTTTTCTCCCTACACATAGTACAATATATGTTGGTGATCACCTTTAAAGCGCTCCATGGCTTAGGGCCAGGGTACTTACAGGACCGCCTTCTGCCACCAATAGCCTCCCACCGGCCAGTTCGCTCCCACAGAGAGGACCTCCTCAGGGTGCCGTCGGCTAGACAATGCCGGCTGGCGACTCCCAGGAGGAGAGCCTTCTCTGTGGTGGCACCTACCCTTTGGAACAATCTACCCCCAGAGATACGAGTGATCTCCGACCTCCGGACCTTTCGTCGGGCCCTAAAAACTCATCTCTTTCAGTTAGCCGGTCTCTCTTGATTTTATGATTTTATGGTTGGTTTTAAATTTTGATATGGATTTTAAATTGATAAATTTTAAACTATGGGCCAAATTTAATTATTTTAAATCTATTTTTAATCGTACTTATGTATAAATGTTTTTTATTTTGGCTGTTCACCGCCCTGAGTCCAAAAGGAGAAGGGTGGTATAGAAATTCGAATAATAAATAAATAAAAATAAATAAATAAATATGTCTTGTTAAAGAATATCTTTTTTTCCCCTCAATCTAGTCTTCCAAGCTGCCCAGCTTAGACTGTGTACTTGTTCTGGTGGAACAGCGATTAGAATGCAGTATTGCAGGCTAACTCACTGTTCACTGTCAGGAGTTCGATTCTGAATGGATCAAGGTTGACTCAGCCTTCCATCCTTCTGAGGTCAGTAAAATGAGCACCCAGATTGTTGGGGGTTGTGATTGTAAAGCATTATGAAGCGGTATATCAATCTAGGTGGGCACGCAGAGCCATATCGGTGGGCACGCGAGCATTGCCCTAGCTGAGCTCCAGCACGCATGTGCTCCTTGTAAGCCTCTGGAGCCTGGGGAGGGCGAAAAATGGGCCTTCTGGTCCCACCAGAAGTTGAGAAATGGGCTGTTTTCACCCTTCCCAGGCTCCAAGAAAGCCTCTGGAGCCTGGGGAGGGTGAGAAACAGGCCTACCATGCCATCACATGCCAAAAGCAGGGGGAGCGTGGGGGAGTCGCATATGCGTGGGGTGGGGCGCATTGAATTATGGATGTGGGTACGCAAGCACACGACCCCCCGTGCGACCCCCACTTTTGGCACGCAACATTAAAAAGGTTAGCCATCATTATCCTAGGTTTTCGCCAGACCTCCCTGATTTCTTATCATCCACAAATTTAATAAAGAATCAGTCCCATTATCCAAATCATTATAGTTGAAGATTATTGGTCCTATGACAAATTCCTGCAAAATCCCACTAGTTCCTGCTTTCCATCTAATGTTGAGCTACTAATCTGAATCTTATTAAAGCTGGCTAGTCAACTGTGCACCCACCTTACTGTAGTGCTATCCAAACCATTTTTAAGAGCTTGTCAAAATAATAGCAGTACAATGCTATATCTCAAAATGAGTCCATCTGGGGAAGAAATATTGAGTACTACATGAAATGGTAGGGAGCACATCAATTTGCCTTGCAGAAAATGGTGCAGTATATGCATCAGAATGATCATATTATAAAAAGGCAAGCTCTCCAGAAACAATTTTTGAGCACATACTCAAACTCAGAATTCAAAAAATATGGCTATTCTTGACATAAACAGTATGTTAAACCCCAATTCGGGGTTTTCCATATCTGCGGGGAGGGGGGATCTGAGAGCATGGCGGCAGGAATGGCAGTGACAAGACTTGGCCTTCAGGAACAGCCGGGCACGGGGGTGCTAGGGCAGTAGCCTGGGAAGCGACTAGCTTGTCGGCAGGGACAGCTCCGGCTCCTACCAGGTGACGACAGCAGCTATTGGTGGCAACAGCGCCATTTATGAATGCCCGGCTGACTGGCGGATTCACGGAACCCAGCTGGCTGGTGCTGGCTGCAACAGAGTGGCGGTGGCCCATGGGGTGGGGTCCGAAGGCCATGACAAACCGGGACACTGGATGCTGGGAGCTGATTGACCGATTTGCTTGCTCCAGAGGAACTGTTTGCCAGTGCCAGATGGTGGTTGAGTGAGTGGGGCAGGTCCAGGCACAGTGGACGTTGTCCCGCCTACAAAAAGCACTGGGAGGCAGTAGCTCCCAGTGCTATCTTTACAATGGACTGCTACTTTTGAAGAACTCAATTTGGGCCAAGGCTCTGCCCTGAATAAACCCTGATTCCACGGTTCCAGAGCGTCTGCTTCTATGTTAACCAGGCCTGTATTTCTTTCAGACAGTATTCTTTCATCTGTAGCACCTTTAATTGTTATGAGATATATTACAATGAAGTTCTATGTTAACTGTAAAAACTACTAGTAATAGTAATATATGTATTGTGATTATCATTTAAATAAAACTAATTATACAATATGAAAAAAAATCAGCAAGAAATATAAATGAAAGCTACTGCAAAGCTGATCACTAGATACTATTTTGAGGATTTTCTTGAAGAAACAAGTATCTCAATCACAGAACAGTCAACAATTTTTAAAAATTGTTATCAGTTACTATTAAGCCTAACTCAAGAACAACAAACAAAGCATGTATAGGTAGGTGCGCAAACTGGAATGTTCCTGTTTTTTAGTACCAAGTTAAAGACACCCATGTCTGATCTACTTCTTCCAAGCAGTTACTATTCCATGTATTTATTTCTTTTGCAAAATAGGATCATACAAAATGATGGAAATAGTCAAAAGGAAAATATATTTGGACAAACGAGAATCTATAACTATTTGCAGTGAGAATATTGTGAAAGAAAATAAACTTTCTTCCAATTTTGTTAACTCGCTACAAACAAACAAATAAAACAAACAAACAAACAAAACAATGCTTTCCCTCTTACCGGAACTTGTAATATGATTTGCTCTGGATGTGTTTAGTAATTCTACAGGCTGATCTCTGGTAGAAAGTCCACCTGAAAAAAGAAAATAATCCAGATAATGTCTGCAGTCAAGTATGATAAAGTTACTTAGAGGTTTGATGTATCAACTGACTAAACAATTAAAAAAGAGCAAAAACAAAAGCAAACAATTGTGTCTCTTACATTGTACTTTAATCTTTGACTATGTTTAAATTAGTTTTTATATGGTATTTTTTATTTGCAATTTATAATTTGCATTTTATCTCTGAAAAACTATGATGCTGACAAGAGAAAAATAGATTGAAAATTTTAAAATAAAGATAGTAATTCAGGTGGTCCTCAATTTATGACCACAATTGAACCCAAAATTTCTGTTCCTAAGTGAAACATTTGTTAAGCGAACTTTACCCATTTTACAACCTTCCTTTTCACACTTGTTAAGTGAATCACTGCAGATATTAAGTTAGTAACATGGTTGTTAAGTGAATCTGGCTTCCCATTGACTTTGATTGTCAAAATAGAATAATAATAATAATAATAATAATAATAATAATAATAATAATAATAATAATAATAATAATAATAATAATAATAATAATAATAATAATAATATATTATTATAATATTATTATTGGTTAATCTTTAGTGAGATTCACAGCCTTTGAGGCTGGTTAATAGCTCAGCAGCTCAAGTCCTAACCAAGGACCTAGGAACTGTTAATGTATCGTCGGAAGATGTAAGCTGTTCCGAGTAAGGTGGTTTTTTGTAGAGTCAAAATGTTCAAGTCCGGCAATTTTAGAATTTCTAAACAACGGGGTAGCCCTTTGGGTATTGCTTCAAGGGCTCCAATTACAATCGGGACAACACACAATTTCTTTTTCCACAGTCGCTCAACTTCAATTTGTAAGTCCCGGTACTTTGTGATTTTTTCTTGCTGCTTATCTTCAATTCGTGCATCACCAGGTATTGCAATGTCAATGAACCATACTTTTTTCTTTTCAACTATTGTTATGTCAGGTGTGTTGTGGACCAAGTGCCTGTCAGTCTAAATCCTAAAGTCCCACAAGATCTTGAGTTTCTCATTCTCTAAAACTTTCTCAATCTGATGTTCCCAGTGGTTTTTGCTGTACTCAAATCCAAACTTCTGGCACAATTTCCAGTGAATGATCTTAGCAACACGGTCATGGCGTTGTAGGTAGTCAGTTTGTGAAATTTTGCTGCACCCACTGATCAGGTGGTCGACTGTCTCATCTTTCTCATTGCATAGGCGGCATTTGCTGTTGGTGGTAACATGTTGAATTTTTGCCTTCATGCAGTTTGTGGCTAGAGCTTGTTCTTGAGCTGCCAAAATAAAGCTTTCTGTTTCTTTTTTCAGTACTCCTGATCTTAACCAGTTCCAAGTTAGTTTCTGGTCAGCTTTGCCTTCAATATTTTTCAAGTATTGGCCATGCAGAGCTTTGTGTTTCCAATTTTCAGCTCGCTGCTCAATTACTTCTTTTTTATATTCTGCTTTTGTTTTAGTTGTCTTTAAAAGGCCTCCTTTATTTACTTCCTTAATCATTGGTTCTTCACTTTTCTGGATGTAATCATTCAAGCTGCATTTTTCTTCTTCACAGTCTGCTTTACTTGTAGGAGTCCTCGATCACCCTCTGCTCTTGGTAAATATAATCGGTCAACATCACTTTTAGGGTGCAAGGCATGATTCATTGTCATAAGCTTCCTTGTTTTTCTGTCCAAATTGTCTAACTCCATCTGGGTCCAGTCAATTATTCCTGCAGAGTATCTAATCACAGGTATAGCCCAGGTATTTATGGCTTTTATGATGTTTCCTCCACTCAATTTGGACATTAATATCTTACGAATTCGCCGAATGTACTTGGCTGAAGTTAATTCCTTGACTTTATTATGCATTAAGTCAGAGGCTTCTAAAATCCCCAAGTACTTGTAGCCTTCTTCTGATTTTACTGCCTTTATCATTTCTTCATTCTCTAGTTCTATTCCATCCTCTTCTATGATCTTGCCTGCTTTGGTTGCTATTGTTGCACATTTGTCAATTCCAAACTGCATACCAATGTCTTGGCTGAATTCTTTTGTGTTTTCAATTAATAAATTCAGTTCAGCTTTTGTTTTACCAAACAGCTTCAAATCATCCATGTACTTATATTATCATCATCATCATCATCATCATCATCATCATCATCATCATCATCATCATCATCATCATATTTCTATACCGCCCTTCTCCCGGAGGACTCAGGGTGGTGTACAGCCTATTAAAAGCACAAAGACAAACATCAATTAAAAATAATTAAAATTATTAAATAGTTTCGGCTCAAATTTAAAACCCCCAAAATTTAAAACACCTAATTTAAAATCATTACATTGATAACCCAGCCTGGCGGAACAGCAGGGTCTTGAGGGCACAGCGAAATACACGGAGGTCGGAGATCTTACGCATTTCCGGGGGCAGTTCATTCCACAGGGCAGGGAATCCCACATAGAAGGCCCTCCCTCTGGGTGTCGCCAGCCGACGTAACTTGGCCGATGGCACCCTGAGGAGACCCTCTTTGTGGGAGCGGACTGGCCGGTGGGAGGCTATTGGTTGCAGAAGTCGGTCTCGAAGGTACCCGAGTCCTATGCCATGGAGAGCTTTAAAGGTGGTAACCAGCACCTTGAATCGCACCCGGAAGACCACTGGGAGCCAGTGCAGCTCGTGCAGGAGGGGTGTCACGTGGGCACAACGGGTTGCGCCCATAACCACCCGCGCGGCCGCATTCTGGACCAGTTGGAGCTTCCGAGTGCTCTTCAAGGGGAGCCCCATGTAGAGAGCATTACAATAGTCCAGCCGGGAGGTGACAAGGGTGTGAGTGACCGTGCGCAAGGCGTCCCGGTCCAGAAAGGGCTGCAACTGGCGAATCAGGCGAACCTGATAAAAAGCCCCCCTGGCCACGGCCGTCATATGCTCTTCTAAAGATAGCCGTGCGTCCAGGAGGACGCCCAGATTGTGAGCCCTCTCTGTGGGGAGCAGAGATTCACCCCCAATAGTCAGCGATGGCACCTGCTGACTATATCGGGATGCCGGAAGCCACAGCCACTCGGTCTTGGACAGGTTGAGTCTGAGCCTATTTCTCCCCATCCAGACTCGCACGGCCTCCAGGCAATGAGACATCACATCAAGGGCATCATTGGGGTGGTCTGGGGTGGAGATGTACAGCTGAGTGTCATCAGCGTACTGATGGACTCTCATCTGAAAACCACTTATGATCTCACCCAGTGGCTTCACATAAATGTTGAACAGAAGGGGCGAGAGAACCGACCCTTGTGGCATTCCCCATACGAGGCGCCTCGAGGTCGACCTCTGACCCCCTGCCAACACAAAATGCGAACGGTTGGAGAGGAAGGAAGAGAACCACCGCAGTACAGCGCCCCCTATTCCTAACCCCCTCAATCGCTGCAGCATGATACCATGGTTGATGGTATCAAAAGCCACTGAGAGATCTAATAGGACCAGGACAGAGGAGCAACCCCTGTCCCGAGCCCTCCAGAGATCATCCACCAATGCGACCAATGCCGTTTCTGTGCTGTACCCCTGCCTGAAGCCCGACTGGTACAGGTCCAGATAGATAGCTTCATCCAGGTGCCAGGGAAGGTGTCGTGCCACCACACTCTCAACAACCTTCGCCACAAAACGAAGGTTTGGAGACCAGACGGTAGTTAGCTAATTCACCCGGGTCCAGGGAAGGCTTCTTGAGGAGAGGCCTCACCACGCCTCTTTCAAGGCGGAGGGAAAGGCACCCTCACTCAAAGAAGCACTTACAATCCCTGGAGCCAGCCTCGTGTAACCTCCCGGGAGGCCAGTACCAACCAGGAGGGACACGGGTCCAATAAAGACGTGGCGGCACTAATCTTACCCAGAACCCTGTCCACATCCTCGGGAGCCACAGGATCAAACTCCTCCCAGGTAATATTCTCAAGACCTACCCTTGTCTCCTCCCCTGGACTCATCCAGTCGGAGTCCAAGCCTTCCCGTATCCGAGCGACTTTATCATGCAGGAATTGCACAAAATCCTCAGCTCGACCCTGCAAGGGATCTTCCCGCACTCCCCCCCCCGAAGAAGGGAGTGAGTCACCCTAAATAGAGCGGCTGGGCGGTTCTCTGCAGATGCGATAAGAGTGGAAAAATGGTTAGATTTCGCCACTTTTATCGCCACTAGGTAGGTCTTGATATAAGACCTCACCTGTGTCCGGTCAGAATCGGATTGACTAGTCCTCCTGATGCTCTTTAGGCATCTTTTCCGACGCTTCATCTCTCTCAGCTCCTCGGAGAACCAAGGAGCCAATTGAGATCAGCATCGGGTCAGAAGCCGCCACAGCACGATGCGGTCCAAAGCTCCGGCGGCCGCACTCTCCCAGGCGGCCATCAGGTCTTCGGTTGAGTCATGTGCCAGAGTCTCAGGAAATGGCCCAAGCTCCGTCAGGAACCTTTCGGGATCCATCAGGCACCTCGGACGGAACCATCTGGTCGGTTCCGTCTCCCTGCGGCGGGGGGAAGCGGCTTGAAAGTCCAAGTGAAGGAGCGAATGATCTGTCCATGACAAGGGTTTAATGTCTAGGTCCCCTCTACCAAGATCATTCAACCACTGACCAGAGACAAAAATCAAGTCCAGAGTGTATCCCCCTATGTGAGTGGGGCCTTGAACTAACTGGGTCAGGTCCATGGCCGCCATGGAAGCCATGAACTCCTGAGCCACCTCTGATGCCTCACCTGAGGATGGTAGGTTGAAATCCCCCATGACAATAAGTCTGGGGGTATCAACCGCCACCCCAGCAATAACGTCAAGCAGCTCGGGCAGGGTCGCCGCCACCTGGCAGGGAGCCAAGTATGTAGTCAGCAAACCCATCTGCACCCCACGGCCCCACTTTACAAAAAGGGATTCACATCCGGCTATCTGAGGAACAGTGGTCTCCCTCGGACAAAGACTTTCCCTAATAATCGCCGCCACTCCCCCACCCCTCCCGAGCCCTTGGCCGATGAAATGCATGGAAACCTGGTG